TTTGATATTTCAGGAACATTGTATTCATTGCTAACAATTCAAATTTCTCCGAGGCAATTCTAAAGTATAAATTAAGGTAGTATCGTTAAGTTGAAATACAATATTTTTAGTTTTGATGTCAACAATACAATTCAATTTTTCACAAAAACGATTGCTTCCATTGTTAAATTCAATGTCAATAATTCAAATTTTTCTGAGGTAACTCTTAACCTCTAAATATTACTTTTTTATGTATACATTTCTAAACGTCAGTATTCAACCACAAAACAACTTAAAGTCCTCAAATTTAGCATGAAGTTGTAAAATGTAATGAACGAGGGTCATAGCAATAATGAAAGTAGAAGTAAAGTTAGTACTGCAAACTTAAAATAATATTTTTAACCAATGAGCCAAGTTCTTCAAGAAGCTGTTGTAGAAGTAGGTTGTTTATTTAAAACTTTTTATAGAATTTCTTTAAAAACACAATTGTTAATTTGGGCATTTGGCGATACGACACTTGTAGAATTGATGTCATTTTGATTTATGTTGCTAAGTTAACTTTCAAAAAATTCTATGGCTGGCAACAGCATTTTTATTTTTTAAGTTGTTTATTTTTATTTCTTTTAGAACTCGTTATTTTTTTAGCGAAATGTTTTTTAACCTAACAGAATTCTTTGCCGTCTGATATATGAAGAAAATAAAGTAAATATTTAGGTGTTGTGAAAAGAATCTTATTTAGTTGTACAAAGTACTTCAGCCAAAATTTGGGAGTCACGTAAGAGAATTATTTATATTAAATCAGAGACACATCATTAAAAAGGCAGAATGCTTTGGTGTTTTGAAAACGTAAACAAAACGAAGCAAACGTTGCCACCGGCGGAAAAGAAATACAGCCAAAATTTGGGAGCCACGTAAGAGAATTATATATAATAGATATTGTAATTATTAGATCAATTATTAGACGCACTGTAGTTTTTTAATAATTACATGTTTCGTACGAGTTTATAAGCAATACTTTTATATTTACACATACATGTAGTGGGTTTTTATTCAGGAGATTTTTTATATACTTCCCATTTGTATTTATTTTTAACGTATTGCATTACAATGTTAACCAATAGATACACTAACGTAAACAAATGCAAAGCGGTTTCAGCAGCGTAAAAACAATAAAGCTGTATAGTATCACCAGATAACTAAGATTTTACATATAATCTTATAGTGTGTCTAATAATTTGGCTAGGGACTGCATATTATCTGTAACTCCTAGTCAATGCCTTCCCAAACGTTTTATCTGTGCAAAGTCTTGTTCTTAGTGCTTTTTAAACTTCGGTAAATGAAACCTTTCTTTTAATCTCCCTTCTCTCTGTTTGCAGAAAAATATTTGCGGCAACCTTTGCAATGGTTTTATGGTTGTCTCAAGAACTGAGCCGAATGGAATACCCTTTGAAAGCCAATTGGATCCACTCCGACCTAGTTCATCCATTAGCTTCAAAGACAATCCTTTCCTCAAAGTCATCGTCGTCATTGTCCTTACCAGCATAGTTTTCATTCTCTTGATTGCAGGCACAGCTACCACAGCGATCTCTTACCCGCCCGAGCCTCCAAAATGGAAACACAAGCAAGCAGAGAGCGAAGACCAGGAAGATGTTCTAATCAGTGTTCACACGGCACTTGATGGTGATTACAAACTTTTGGGTCCCCTTTTGCTGATGGCGGGAATATTTCTTTTTGTTGTTGATGCAGTCTTATGTTCCATTGTAATCAGGGAAGCGTATTACACGTCCAGAAGTATTCGTCCAAGTATAGATGTTTCGCCAGGCTCAATATCTGTTTTGGGTGGACCCTTTTTTTTAGCTGTACCGAACCCAGGAAACCAACAAGAAATGACATCCTTTGCATTGTCGAGACAACTGTGGGCAATGCCAAATGCCCCCACTCCAGATTTTAGCATTGATGGCTGTGGCATGAAAGGTTCGAGAATGAGACCATCTACTGCTACAATCGGACATAGTCATCAGCCTCCTTTTAATCCAGATATTGCTTTACCGAAGTCACCAGAGAAATCATAAAAATTTTAATTTTGAACAATCTAAATCTAAAGAATATTTTTTTAATTTAATTTTAATAGATTTAAAAAAAAATTAAAACTTATTTTAACTTGCATATTAATGTCATGAAAAAACTTCAGTGAAAGATTTCACGGGTCAAGATAAAATGATACGTCATGATGATATTTTAAAAAGCATTATTATTTACTTAATTTAAACAATAATCAATTAAAAATTTAATAGAGATGTCCAAGTTAGAAGCTTGCCTTGATCAGTGTTCTACTATCATTCGATCAGTTTCTTTTTGTTCTATTCCTATTGGATGATTCGTATTCTTATTCCAATAGAAACGCATTTCTATTGGTTGCGTATGTAACTAATTGATCAATGATGGATTGTCAGTGATCAGGTAAGTGCAATGGCAGCAGCCTAGACCTCTCTATTTTCTTGAGGAAATGAAAAAAATTAATTACTTTTCATTTTATATGTTATTAGTAGCTAACGGAAAAACACTCCTTTTCTGTTTTAAAAATATTTATGAAAAATTCATACTCGTGCACTTTATGTAACCACGATAAAGTGCTTTTATGAACCAATACAAGCTTAAACAAAAGTGCTGTTTAAAAAATAAAATAGAAGTAACTATATTTATCAAAATACGTAAATTTTTCCTGGAGTCTTCATTCACTATTATGTAATATCTTTTAATGTGAAATTAATGTCTGCAAAATAATTTCATTAAACTTGTAATCTGGGTAACATATTGTGTCTTAATCACTTATTGTGACGTTGGAAGATATTGTGATTTAATTATCTTTTTTAGTGAAAGTTGTTTTCTGATTTTATTCCAAAAGCGCGGTTTTGTTATAATATGCATTGATGCTATATTTCAAAGTATGTAATAAATCATAATTATTAAATTTGATTTCAATTTCTTTTATGTGTGTGTAAAAACCCATAAATTTATGAAGTGCAGTTTTTGAAGCTTCCGTAATACGCCAATAGTGATTATTTAAATTAGTTTTTGTTTGGTAGTGCCTATGAACATAGGTTCTCAACTTTTTTTGAATATCCGATCAATTTGCCAGTCAAAACAATTTTACACCCTTTGCAAAATAATAATCATAAATAAATAAATAAATAAAAAAGAAATAAATATTTTTTGACGTTTTAAAACTTTTAATATTTTTGTCATAATACCTTTTTAGAACTATTCATTTGAATTATCGACAATATTCTTAAATACTCAATGCATTGTCATAGAAAATGTTTTCATGCTTATTTTCATAAAAATAACTCATGGGTAAAGTTTTTTAGAGAGTTTGCATAGAAATAAATATAAACATATCACTTTGAAGTTAAAAAGTAAATAATTAGTCAAATATTATTTTTTTAGCAATTTTCAAAAATGTTAAATAAATGATGTAGTTTATAAATGTGATCAGGTTCACATGCAATCCATTGCTTGTGTTTGTTGAATGAAAAATGTTTAAAATTAAATCAGAGTGTTAAAATAACACATCATAAGTTAGCAGCATTTTGATAAAATAATTTAAGTAATTCAAAAAGCAGAAAAAAGGACGCAATTTACATGTATTGGAATAGCATGTAAAAAATTTTGAGCCAAATACATGTTGAGAGCAAAATGTGTGAAAGATTTTCGTTGGATGGCAGCAGTAGAGTGGATTGGGAAAAAAATAAATTTTTGAATTTCGGAAAGCTTTAGCGCGGAAAACCTGGCTATTTTACACAAAAATAAAAACGGCTTCAAAATTTTTGAAATCAGTTTACGTCTTCCGTATTTTCTGAACACAGTATCCTTATAACTTCTTAACATTTTATCATATCGATTCTTGTTTTATTTCATTTAAGCACAAAAATGCACTGTTAGCATTGATTGCTTCATTTGTTTAGCTATGATAGATGTGTAAATAGGTAGAAGTACAAAATTGTATTTTTTGTCCGTAAAGCTCTTATAACTACAAAACTAATATTTCGATCGGTTCGTAAAATTCAGTGCAAAAAAAAAAAAAAAACTATCGGAAACTATGTTTTGATAGAAGAAAGTCATTTCTACTAAAAAATAGAAACGTACAAAATAGGGGCGTTTTTCATTTGTAAGGGCAAGACAAAGCTTCCTATGAAAAAAATTTAATTAATGGAAGAAAATATGTAATTTTATTGAAGTACAATACAAGATTAATATTTTAGAAGCCCATTTATTATTATGCTTGCTAGATTTTTAGAAAAACAAATGAGATATTTACTTATTATTCCATAAAAAATGAAATTACATGTAGGAAATTGCGTTAAAAACTCATTTTAAGCTTGATTCTTTTTAATTAGAAATTGTCTCATTGCAAAAAATCAATATCAAACAAAATTATTAATTTAAGACTTGTTTGCATCTTGTTTTGAATTACATTTTTATTATTTTCTTTCATTATCACTTCACCGTTGAGTATTTTTAACGGGAAAAGTATTAAACATTTAAATAACGTAAAACAATTAATGAAAAGAACCAATGAATATATTATAATCCTTTTAAAAATCATTAAAAATGAATATTTTTAATACAAGATATAATTATATTATAATTGATTGATGAATTCCTTATTTCGAATTAGATCATCACAGACATGATAATTTACATAAACAACACCTATACTTCACTTACTTTATAACTTGTAAATAATTGAATCGGATAACTATGTTTGGTAAGATTCGGAAAATAACCAAAATACCCTTAACGAAATGTAAAAACTATGTTTACTTTAAAATAGCTGATATTGTTTTAAAATAAGAAAAATATTTGACTGTTCTTAAATTTACGAAACTAAAATAGACCTTGAGAAAAAGATAATTGCAAAAAAGAAGAACGGTGTGAAAAGATGTAATTTTACCTACTCTAAAAAATGCTAAAAAACTTTAAAAAAAGAAAAGAAAAAAGAACAACAACAAGAAAAACCGCTAATTGTATACTTCTAGTGAAAGTTGTGATAGATGAAGTTTTATAAATTCCTTAAAATGACTATTAAGTATTTATCACTTTCAAATACATCCTATCGGACATTTTCAATTTTTTTAGGAAACATTTATTTTGATTTTTATCAATTGGATTTTTTTTAAAATTTAAGCCTAAATTGGTCAATTGAAACATTCTTGGATATAAAATAAAAGGTAAATATGAATTGAAGATGATTACTATGTTTAAATTCAAGATTATGAACATTTTAAATTTCTTAAATTCATGTTTCTGAAGTATTTGTTGTGAAATATTTCAAAGCAGCTATACAAATATAAAACTTGATTTATTTTTAATCAAAAAACCTAATAAAGCAATGTAGCATCAGATTTTGTAAAATGGCCCTCTTCTACTAGATACCCTTAAATACCCTAATTAATGTTTGTTTAAATACCCTAATTAATGTTTGTACCCTTAAATACCCTAGTAATGTTTAAATAATGTTTGGTCAATAATTTGATTAAAAAACTGCATCTATTTCCTTTTCTTCAGATATATTGTTAAACTCATGATCTATAATGTGGTGCAAAATCAACTGAAAACAGTAATTTTATAAATGTATTTTAAAATTAAATAAATAAATGTACATTGTAAAGCAATTCCGGTATAAAATACTGGCACTTTGGGTGATTCATTCGTAAAATCCGTTTTTACGATAAAATCAATTTTTTCATAAGATATATGACATAAAATTTACAGTAATATTTTCTTAATTAGAGTGATTCAGTGATTTTAATGCATTTATTACTGTAAAATCATGGTATATCAGATGTTTTATTCTGTAACATGTTCCGGTAAAAATGGACTTAACTGCAAGAAATAGTACATGTTCCTTAACGTAATTTAATTCAAACTTTTTTTACAGTGTACTTAAGTTTTGCAATGAGTATTCAATTTTAAATTTTTGGTAAGCACAAAATTTCCAACAAATGCCAAGAAGATTTTTATATTTAAAATAAGTACTTTTTTGTTTCAACATCTGACCTAAATAGATACCCGCAGATGAAAAAAAAATTAGTAAACGAAAGATATTCAATTAATTGAATGGCTCAATCAAACTATGTTTGAAGTAATAACAAAACTTAAAAAGGAAATTATTATCATTGAATTTCTGAATTTTATGAAACCTCTAAGAAGACTTTTTAAAGAACAGTTTATTAAAATAAATATACTTTCAAAATTTAAGAAATTCAGTTGCGAAATTTAGCCTTTTGTTGTCATTAATATAATAAGAAAGAGAAAATTTTTCAATAAAAATTTAATTACCTCATTTAAACAATATAATTTTTTTAAAGAAAAGTTTCTTTTTCTTTTTTTTCATTTTGCTTAATTTTAATTAAAATGCAAATGCAAAGTGACCTTTTTGGAGTTCATTACTCATAAACCAAGTTAAAATTCTTTTGAGTCAAAAAAGCATGATGACTGTTTTAATAAGGTAAATAAAGTATTTCATAATTATTCTTAACATTCTATTCAGATGTTAAACGCATGCTGCTAGTTAAAAATAAACTTTTTCAATGTAAAATTTTGCTTCATTCTTATCATTTCGACGGAAATTCATTTCTTTAGCTTAACAAATATGGATTGATTACGTAAATTATAAAAATTTATTGCAAATGCTTATTATAATTCATTTGATTTTTAAATTGTTTTTTTTTTTAATTCTCTCTTAAATATTCATTTTTTATCCCTGATATGCAATATTTTATGGCTTCATTTTTAAAAGTGTTTCGCAATTATGACTACGGAACCCTTTCACAACTGCAAACACCTGAAAAATTGGACAATATGCGAAAGCAACAACTTCATTCCCCATTCCCAAATATAAGACATCGATGAAAATTAAGCAGAATTCAATTATTTTTTAAGTATTTAAAAGATAAAATGAGTAGTGTTTTCCAGTTTACAGTTTTATTTAATAGAGTTTATTGCATGCTCGTCGGTTGTTCATTAGTTTTGTCAATTAAGCTCAGTGATCAACAAGGATGATATATGAGGGCTACGTCGCTGAATTAGTGTTCCTTAAATTATATGCTAACCACGTTTTTTCTTGATTGTTCTTTTTATAGTAGGGCTCATAAAAAATAGCAGCAAAATTAAGCCAAATAATTTAAAATCAATGGTAATTGGGTATAATATGAAAAAAACACAACTACTTCGATTTAGTAGGAACAACATATGACGCAATGCTAAACGAATGGAATTTAGTTGTTGTTTATTTAGTTATTGTTATTAGTAGTTGTTGTTTATTTAGTTGTATTTAGTTTCAATAACTTTTCTTTATAATGCAATAAAATCTGGCGAGCAGCTATTTAAACGATCGAACACTTCGTTTGTTTATTTGTGGCTTGAAGTTAGGCTCGCAGAAAATGCCGTTCATGGGTTAAATTTAGTAGGAACAACACAACCTGTGACGTAGGCTATATTATACCCAATTGCGCGTTTGCAGAAGGAGAAGATGAACACGTGACTAGACCCAAACGTGGGATTTTAATCTGATTTAATTGGATACTTTTAAGCGACGTCACGCGTGTGTGTCAAACCTGATTCGCTTCTGAATCAACGAATGCAACCATTTACTCGTGATAACGTCGCTTGCAGTTATCAATTTGAAAAATAAGTTACGCATGTAAAGCAAAAGTAATCGAGAATTGGTATTTATTTGCTGAAGAGAAGAATGAAAAGTTGCCATACTAATATTTACGCAAAAGACAATTGGTTTTGCAGTTGGTACAATTTAAAATGATAAAATAAATTTATATTAAAAAGTTAAATTAATAGAGAAAAGTTATTTATGGAAAAACATAGAAGTGTCTACTATCGTCGCCAATGATGATTAATTCAACTGTTCCCAATTTTATTTCAGCAATGGAGCTCTAAATATGATTTAATTTA